ATAAAACCATTGAAGGGAAAACCCTCATTAGTTCCTGATAATAAACCATTGAATGGAGAACCTCATTAGTTCCTGATAATAAACCATTTAAAGGAGAACCTCATTAGTTCCTGATAATAAACCATTTAAAGGAGAACCTCATTAGTTCCTGATAATAAACCATTGAATGGAGAACCTCATTAGTTCCTGATAATAAACCATTGAATGGAGAACCTCATTAGTTCCTGATAATAAACCATTTAAAGGAGAACCTCATTAGTTCCTGATAATAAACCATTTAATGGAGAACCTCATTAGTTCCTGATAATAAACCATTGAATGGAGAACCTCATTAGTTCCTGATAATAAACCATTTAAAGGAGAACCTCATTAGTTCCTGATAATAAACCATTGAATGGAGAACCTCATTAGTTCCTGATAATAAACCATTGATTGGAGTGACTGTGACACAAAATAAGAATTTGTATCATTTATTAAGTGGATGTAATACAAATCTAGATGAATGAATAACTATTGGTCACAAAACTTGGAACCTAACAACCATGTTGAATCAGTGCAGCAATATAGCAGCAACATCCACTTCAGGACTCCAGCTCTTTCATCTTCTTTAATGTCCTCTGCTCTTCATGCTCCAAACCTCCCTGTTTTATAGTTAATGACCCCCACCTCTAGGTTAGTACTCGATCTGGTTCTGCTGACGGCAGAATATTGACCAGAACTTTCCAATAAGTTCAACCTTCCACGTTTATTCCTGAAGAAACTGTTTCTTCTGGCCTGAAAAACCCTGGGGAAAAAAAAAAAAAAAACTATCCAGAAGAAACGTCCAACCCTGGATGGAGAAGACTGTTATAATGCAGCATCAATCCTGGATGAACATCATCTATGGTGGCCCCCAGGGGCCAGGAGTAGCTGCTGTCACTGATGTGAAACATGCAGATGATGCAAAAAGCTTATTTAATATCATCATTAATAGAGGATTTATTCAAAATAACAGAACATCAGTTTGGTTCTACAGAAATAAAATGTTACATTTTTTCAGTTCTTTGTTGGGGGGTTAAACAGAATTAGAAATCAATCAGGTTCATTTCGTCCAGACTTTTAGGTATATAGCAGTAATGGGTCCATTAACAGCCATGCATAGAGCCCATAGAGCTGCATGGGGCCCATAGAGCTGCATGGAGCCCATAGAGCTGCATGGAGCCCATAGAGCTGCATGGGGCCCATAGAGCTGCATGGGGCCCATAGAGCTGCATGGGGCCCATAGAGCTGCATGGAGCCCATAGAGCTGCATGGAGCCCATAGAGCTGCATGGGGCCCATAGAGCTGCATGGAGCCCATAGAGCTGCATGGAGCCCATAGAGCTGCATGGGGCCCGTAGAGCTGCATGGAGCCCATAGAGCTGCATGGAGCCCATAGAGCTGCATCGGAGCCCATAGAGCTGCATGGGGCCCATAGAGCTGCATGGGGCCCGTAGAGCTGCATGGGGCCCATAGAGCTGCATGGAGCCCATAGAGCTGCATGGGGCCCATAGAGCTGCATGGGGCCCATAGAGCTGCATGGAGCCCATAGAGCTGCATGGGGCCCATAGAGCTGCATGGAGCCCATAGAGCTGCATGGAGCCCATAGAGCTGCATGGGGCCCATAGAGCTGCATGGAGCCCATAGAGCTGCATGGGGCCCGTAGAGCTGCATGGGGCCTGTAGAGCTGCATGGGGCCCGTAGAGCTGCATGGGGCCCGTAGAGCTGCATGGGGCCCATAGAGCTGCATGGAGCCCATAGAGCTGCATGAAGCCCATAGAGCAGCATCGGAGCGCGTGTCGTTTCCAGAAAGTCATGTGACCGATCCAGGAGCTGTTTCTAACTGACTAATTCACTAAACTGGGTTTAAAATCATATCTGTCAACATGATGCATCTGCTAAAAATGTTTTATCTTTTGCTGTTTATCATTAAATTGATCCAGAATTTTGGAGCCTAAAAGGAATAGAAACGTTTCACCTGTTTTTATTTTCATTTTCTCCTTGTTTCATCATTTTCCTCTCAGTTATCACTCATCTTATCTGAATTAAAGTTCATTTCACATTGACTCTTAGTTTATTTACTGTTCTTACTGTACTTATTGTTTTAAAATTTTATGATTTAAAATCCTAGTCCACAAGCATCCTCTTTCCCCTAAATTTCCATCTTGATTTAAGTTTATATTTATTGGCTGCATCTAAAAATATCGAAGATATTTTCAATTTAAAGAGATATGAAACAATACATGACCTATAAAAACTTACATATCATTGTAGTAGGTCATCACATCAATTCAGTTTAGTCTGTCCAATCAGCTGCCTGTAGTGTCTTTAAATGTCCAGCAGGTGTCAGTACTCAATGAGACAGAATCAATGCAGCATCAATAGTTTGGCTTCAATAACCCGTCACTAGTATCACTACAAATTACCACCATTACAGCTACTGTTTTATCTCAGTGATTGAATCAGTTCGTGGATCATTTATTATTCACCTTCAGCCTGTGATTCTTGAGACCAAACAGTCTTGGTTCTGTTGAGTCCGCTGTGGACCAGAACCTTTGAGCGGTGCTCTGCTCCGTCAGTATTTATCCTCTCTGGCTGGTCCATCCTCCTTCTGGGTCGACATTTCACCGCGACGGGTGGGGAGAATCTTAAATCATCTTTATGTCCCTTAAAACACAGCGCTGGATGTTAAACCCTGAACGTCTCACAGTAGAGGCCCCGTTGATCTGGGGCCCGGTTGATCTGGGGCCTCTAGCTGCCACTACATCAGTGGTTCCCAAACTTTTTTGGCTCAAGGTACCCCTAGTTTTCCACCCAGCCGTGGTACCCCTAAGCTGACATTTATTTCACATTCTACTCTTCATTTGTGCAATATTTTTGTAATGTCAAGCATAATAGCATGCAGAAACTTTTAGAACTTTTATTAAAATAGTAAGCTGATTGTAACAAGAAACATCAGCATTTTCCTAACAAACCAAATATATCCCAAATGGTGAAATATTAACATAAATATTTTAGTCTAGAAACATGAAGTAAGTTATGCCAGTATAACCAGAACATAACAAGTATGCTCCTGTCTCTGACTGCAGTCTGTTGATGTGAGGGGGGGTGGGGGGCAGTGAAACACCGAGATCCTCTTCTACTGGGAGCCTTTGCCTCAGCTTATTTTTCATGTATGTCAGAGAGGAGAGAGCCAGTTCAAAGGTAGGAGGTGGGGAACTGCACTTTCTGAAATAGAGGGATACTCCCGTCTTACTCAGAGCCTAAATGTGTCCAATGACGTCCGCTGTGCTTTAACTTCAGTGTCCGCTCTGCTTGAAGCTCTACAAGCTCATCCTGCCCCTTTGTAGTCAAACATTCTGCTGCAGATGTTGTGGTAAGATTGTGAAATGGATCTCGAACCCAGTAGAACTCTGCATTTGTTTGTGGTAAACAGTTCTCAAACCTTTTATTCCAGTTTAGTCAGGTGAGCAGAAAAAAATGGCAGTGTTGTGTGTGGCATTGCTAGTTGTCAGTGGAAACATATAAAGATTTTCTTTTAGCCACCCTCTGTTGCCATTGATTTTGTCTGTTGCTGTGAGAAGGGTTTCATTTTTGCATTTAGCTCATTCATGTGTTCATAAATGTTAGCCAGGGAAGCTAGTTTGAGCCAAAAGTCATTAATCTGCTCCTGAAAAGGAATGTGATGCTCACTAGCAAAAGCCAGTAGTTCTTCTCTTAGTTCATAAACTAGTTCATAAAAGCCAATGCTTTACCCCTTGATAACCATCGGACCTCAGTGTGTAATAAGAGACCCAGATGTTCCGATCCCATTTCGCTGCAGGGGGCGCCAAATAATCGTGTCTTAAGCGGGCGGGACTTAATGTAGTTGATGATTTTGACCACTGTAGCATCCCCACTCCAGAAGAATCCGTATTTGAGATACCGGTCATTGTAGCGTCTCATCTTTGGCCTCTTTGCTCCCCCTGACTCTTCAGGTGTTGCTTCAGGTGTGTTCAGACGCGAAGGACCTGAACTGCTTCGCTTCACAAACCTGTCCATCATTGTTCGTCTCCACCGGGGACACTGCCATAGCATCGCTGTGTAGAAGTGACTCCGCCATGCCCCCTCAACCCAAATGCATTATTAGATAATTATTTTTCTGTCATTTTTTCAAAGTAGTAAAGAAAACATAAAATGTAGCCCCTAGTTTTAGAATATATTTGCTTACATCACAATAAATTTACAAAATTGTTAAAATGTACATTCAGTATAAAACTCATCAATCTATGAAAATATCCTGCGGTACCCCTGTAGTAACCCCTCCGTACCCCTAGGTGCCGCTGCTCCCATTTGAAAACCCCTGCACTAGATTATGGTTCCTAGCTTCAGGTATTAAAGGAAAAGTCCAGTCAGCAAGCAATGATCAATGGATCATGGCAGGAGGGGGGGGTTACTATATTTGAACAAAAATGGCCGCTCCCAGACTCTGTGATCGCAACAAAAATAGTTTTTATGTTTTTACTGATTAACGCTAAATCCATTAAAACACTGCAAACGTTTCAGGTATAAATAATGATCCATTGATTATTCCTGCTGATCGGACTTTTCCTTTAAAGGTGTTTGTGTTTCTATCAGGTGTGTTCTTCACCTGGATGCAGGTGAGAGGCTGATTTTTTTTATGTGAGCGTCTTTGAACTGAAGCCTCTGCTGTTTGTGGCAGCAGCTAATCCGATTAGCCCTGAATGAAAAAACAAAAACAAGTCAGGAGATTTTTTTAAAAACCTGTATTCATTCTGAACACTGAAAAAAAGGAGCCATCTTTTATCCAATCCTGTTTAAAAACACTTGATCAGCACCTGCAGGTGCTCGTTACTCCCATTACATCAAAAACATAAATAAAACAAGCTTTAGTAAACCACTGAGCAGGAAGAGCACATCGCCGTGGCAACCGGTCCCACCGGCCTGAACGGGCCGTGGCGGGGCGGCTCCATCAGAACCCGTCCTTCCATCAGAAAAATTTCAAACCCAAACGCCGGAGCAGGAACTGCATCGGTCATCAAGCCTTGCTGTTGGTCATCGCGGTTAGCTAAAAGCGGCGCAGAGCGGCTAAATGTGGCTATAAAGGTTAGCATTACAGGAGGAAGCTAGCCGTCCGTAAATCTATGGCTTCTTCCTCTGGTTCTCGTCTCAAACAGGAAAACATCAACATTTCTTAGATATATTGCACTTATATATGGGGGTGGGGGGGATTACTGGGGGCGGGAGCAGGCGTCTGGCCGCCACATCCTCAGATCCACCAGGACCTGGTTCAGCTTCCTCATCCACAGGTTCCTCTCCTCCTTGGTGTCGGCACTCAGCCAGTTCCTGGAAGCAGAAGGAAGCTGCTGAGTGGCTCTGCTGTGGGCCGAACCGGTCCGATCCGGTTAGGAGGAGGAACCCACCTGGTGACACACATGGTGTCGGTGCACTGGCTGACCAGCGTCTCTCGGTCGTCCTTCCTCTGCGGTCGGACCGTGATCAGCTCCAGCGTGTTGGGTCTGGCGCAGAACTCCCGGTTGGCGGGCTCCACCTGCTGGCTGGTGCAGCTGGCCAGGTTGATGCGACCGATGGGGTTCTGGAAGGAGAACAGAGCGTGACGACCGGTTCCAATGGCGGTTTCTACGGGGGAGGGGTCAGCCGGTACCTTCCGCCGCTCGTCATCAGGGTAGGTCCAGTAGGAGATGTAGTACCCGGACAGGACGCACCACCTCCGGTGCCACGCTCCGAAGCCGCTGACGTCCTCAAACATGGTCTGCGTGGGCAAAGTGGATCCGGTTAGAACATGGAGGAACCCGGCGGAGGTTCTGGTCACGGCTGCTACTCACCAGGAAGCCCCTCTCCTCCACGTTGGAGTCCACCTCACACTGCAGCCTCAGGTGGATGTGGCCCTCCAGCGGGCACAGGAACGGCACCTGGAAGGAGGGGGAGGGAGGAGTTTAAGGCTGGAACCAACAGTTGTCCCCGCAACCGAGACCCGGTTCTACAGAACCTCTGAGTCAGCTGCTGGTTCTGTGCTTAGATCAGTCTCTCAGACCTTCTGACCCGGTTTAGGAACCATGGGTTGATGTTTGTAAAAATGTTAAAATAGAAAACTGCTTCATTTTTGTTGTTAAAATTCTTAAATCTACAAACCCTGTAGAACCTGGAACATTCTGGGCATTCAGGTCCATACGTTTAGTTTTATATGCTGCTGTATCCGATACGCTGGAGGCAACAGTTGGAGTTTTCAGATTCTAGCGCGGTGATGTTCTTTTGATTTCTTTTATTAAACATCATAAACCAAAGAACAGGATTTGGTTCTGCTGGGATTTCAATACATGCTGCTGGACTGATTTCTGAAGCGGCGCAGGAGAAACTAAAGGCCTGGTTATCCTCCCCCAGCAGCGTGTCGCAGATATCATTGATTTCTGCCCAATATTGAAGCGTGGTCTGCGCTGTGTTATTCCATGCCCCGGCGCCAGAGGGCCAATCGGGAACTAGCTGTGGGTCTAGATACGGCTGAGGCGGTGAGGAAGTGGGGGCCAGTTTGTGCGACATCATTCACTGTGACACTCTGACCACCTGGATTCTGGGTAAAGGAGGGGCGCTACAGGCCCGGCTTAACATTGGACCTGAAATAAACATCTTTCCTGGAATATAAAAACCTCCAGACCCGACGACCAGGGCGTCTCAGGCTGAGGGCCCCGCGCATACGGACCAGTTCTGGTTCCCCTCCTTCCCGTACGATCGGTATCAATTCATCTGGGCTCAGAGAGCAGAGAATAAAAGAACAGACCAGTTAGAACGGACCGTTCTAACTGGTCTGTTCTAACCGGTCTGTTCTGGCTGCATATACAGAAGCTCTGACCAGGCAGGGTGAGCAGACTATTTTCCTTCTGTCTCTGTGCTATAACACATTAAAAAATTTTTTTTCCCACTTTTGACTGGAACAGATTATGAAAAGTTATTAAAAAAGATTCTAGAAGCAAAGCTCTAGTCTGTGCAGCATCTAGAACCAGAACAGATAGAGCATTTTCATCTATTAAAAACATAATGAGATCTATGTGTAAAGAAAAGAAAAACGCAGCAATAAACTCTGTGGGACGGTTTCTATGGTGACGGAGAGGCGATTCTCAGAGAGATCTGGGAAGTTTCTCCAAGTTTTTCTTTCTTTTTTCCCTAAAGAGGTGAGAGAGATCCGCTGCTCTGACCTGCTCTGTCTGCTCCTCCTTATTCTGGTTTCTGTGAGGCTCAAAGAGGATCACTGCTTGATCTGTTTCTGTCCTCCTGAACTCCTATCATGGGGAAAGTTTTCTATTTTAATGCTGCATATACCCCAGTGGCTGTAAAACTGACTCTTTCCCCGTGAGATTAACAGATTTTATTTTTTAATTTCCTCCAAAGCGGATGTGTTTAACGTTGTAACCGCGTCTCTCTTCCTGTCAGACCCATTAGTTGCTGCTGAATTGCAGTCTGACTAAAACAGACCTGGGCTCTATCTCAGTCGGAGCTACGCTGCCCCCTGCTGGAAATCATCCCCGTTGACTTTCAATGAGCTCTAAACACCAGGACATCTGATTGGTGGTTTTCTTGCTCACCTTCTCCAGAGGAAACTTGTTCTTCCCGATGGAGGACAGCGTCAGGCGCTGAGATCCAACCAGAACAAAGTTGCTGCTGCGCACGGCGTTCGGACCCCCGGGGCTGGCCAGAACTGCAGATGGCGAGGTTTGGTCAGTGGTTAGCTGGACAGTTTCTAGCGGTTCTGGTTCTGAAGTGGTTCTACGTACCTGGCGTCTGCGCGGTTTTCTGAAAGAACAAGAAAGAGCGGCTCAGTGAGAGCAGAGGAAGAGGCGGAACAGAGAGGAGGGAGCTGGACTTACCGTGATGGTCAGGAACCGCTTGGGAGTGATAGCCTGTAGATAGAAGACAGGATCAGACATGGAGGCAGAACCAGCAGCTTTAGCCCCGCCCACCCTGTGCGCCCCCACCCTGTGAGGAGCAGAAACTAAGCGTCCGTACCGACAAACACAGACCGTGGGCCTCAGAGACGAGTCTCCAGACGCTCTGGAAACACACGGCTCCTGAAACGGCTGCTTCTGACACCCAGACCAAACATTCCCCTCACCGCGCCGCGCCTTACCTTGGATTTAGCCGCCTTCTTCTTCTTCTCGCTGCAGAGCTCCTGCTTCTGGACCTGAAAGAATCCAGAACAGAACAGTAAAACCATGACAGTACGGTCACCATGGAAACAGAGACCCTCCAACGGGCGTACCAAGCAGTAGACGTCCAGGTCGATCCTGAAGTCGCTGCAGACGTCCGACCTGGACAGGAAGAGAGGAGGCCGTTAGGACAGGAGCGTAGCCGTTTGGCGCCGCGCGGCGTCTGGGACTTACAGGGTGAACTTGGTGGGGAAGGTCAGCGTGTCGCCGCTGAGGCCGCGGTGAGTGCTGGCCAGCGGCGTGGCCACCATGTTCTCCGCTCCGGCACGTATTACGATAAAAAACGAATGTTTGGTTGAATCTGGGAGGAAAACAAACCACAGCGTCAGAAATGGAGGAGGAGCCGGAGAAAGACTCCGCCGCTGCGGTCCTACCGGGCCTGTTGGCAGTGGAGCAGACGAAGTCGGCCTTCAGCGGCAGGCGGAGCTCCTGCAGGGTGATGGATCCCTTGGAGGCAGCAGGTTCAGAATCCGCTGAGCTCTTCTTCTGCCCAGCTGGCTCCCCCTTCAGGCGCTCCAGCTCGGCCTTCAGGGCCTCCCTCTTCTCAGCTGGAGGGAGAGAGGGAGGGAAAAGGTCAGCGACCTCGAAGGTCAGCATGGCGCCCGAGTGAATCAGAGGAACTCACTGGCCACCAGCAGCAGCCGCTCCGCCTCCGCCTCCACCTGGGAGCCTCTGCCGTGCTCCTCGTCCACGCAGCAGTTCAGAGCCTGGCTGGCCTGATGGATCACCGTCTGCTGGAGGTTCATCTCGCTGCTCAGCATCTGCAGACACAGCGCCGTTAGCTCTGCCGGAGCGTGGCTCGGCGCCGCGGAGCCGTGCAGAGACGCGTACCTTCATCCTCTGCTTCATGCTGAACAGGCTGGCCGCGCGAGGCTCCTCCGCCCGCTTAGAAACATCCTCCTTCCTCACGATGACCTGCTTCACCGCCGGGCGCTCTGGTTCCTTCACCCTAATGGACCTGTAGGCGTCGATGCTAACACACACACGACACGGTTAGCTAGCAGCTAGCACCCCCCCAGGCCATGGCAGATCACAGCTTCCCACCTATAAGGCAGCTTATGGTCCTCGTCGCCGTGAGAACGGGTCCCCTGCAGCTCTTCTCTTGGGGCGTCTCTCTTCAGGAGGAAGGAGCTGGCTGGGGTGGACGACTGCAGGGAGGTGAGAACAGACGTTTATACACTGCTCAGAAAAATGAAAGGAACACTTTGAAAACACATCAGGTCTCATGCTGTTTCTTTATCCTGATAAGGACTGGGTGATGCGTTAGGAATCATTTGATGGAAACGAAAATGATCAACCTACAGAGGGCTGAATTCAAAGAAACCCCGAGAAAAAATGATGCGGCAGGCTAGTCCATTTTGCTGAAATTTCATTGCAGCAACTCAAAATGGTATTCAGTCATTTGTATGGCCCCATGTGCCTGTATGCATGCCTGACAACGTCGGGGCACGCTCCTAATGAGACGGATGGCGTCCTGGGGTTTCTCCTCCCAGATCTGGACCAGGGCATCACTGAGCTCCTGGACAGTCTGAGGTGCAGCCTGGCGGCGTCACATGGATGGAAACATAATGTCCCAGAGGTGTTCTATTGGATTTAGGTCAGGCGAGCGTGGGGGCCAATCAATGGCATCAATTCCTTCATCCTCTAGGAACTGCCTGCATAGTCTCACTAGAGTGTATCGCCCACTAGAGGACGTGGGGCCCTCAGGCCACCCTCTTGGAGTCTGTTTCTGATTGTTTGGTCAGAGACGTTCACACCAGTGGCCTGCTGGAGGTCATTTTGTAGGGCTCTGGCAGTGCTCCTCCTGCTCCTCCTTGCACAAAGGAGCAGATAGCGGTCCTGCTGATGGGTTGTAGACCTTCTACGGCCCTGTCCAGCTCTCCTGGAGTAACTGCCTGTCTCCTGGAATCCCCTCCATCCTCTTGAGATTGTGCTGGGAGACACAGCAAACCTTCTGGCAACGGCACGTATTGATGCACCATCCTGGAGGAGTTGGACTAGCTGTGCAACCTCTCTAGGGTCCAGGTAGCGCCTCATGCTAACAGTAGTGACAGTGACCCTAGCCAAATGCGAAACTGGTTTAAAAGAGTCAGAAAGATGAGGATGGGATAAAATATCAGCGGCCTCCACCTGTAAAACGTTCCTGTTTTGATGGTCGTCTGGTTGTTGCCCCTCTGGTTCACCTGTTGTTCTTTTCATTAACACCAAAGCAGCTGAAACTGATTAACACCCCCCTCTGCTACTGACCTGACCAAATCAATATCCCACAAGTTTAATTAACTTGATGCTTGATTACAAAGTGTTCCTTTAATTTCTTTGAGTAGTGTACGCAGACGCCTCGTCGGGCGCAGATTCGCACGTCACCGCCATATTGTATGTGGGAGAAATTAGTGAAGGTCTGATGTAGTGAACGTTGATCAGCTCAGTGATTATAGCTGTACTAAACTAGTTATGTATACACTCTGAATACATAAAAAAAAGTTGTCCATGTCATTATATATATATAACTATATGTCAAGATTATAGATACGCCTCTATCAATCTATTTTATAATGTGTGTGTGTGTGTGTGTGTGGAGGGGAATCTAAAAATCAATTGGTTAAATCTAATCATTGTGGTCTTCATTATTTCATAAAACTGTCACACGTGGACCTTCTAAGATCTGGTTTAGACACAGATTAGGAACAAACTTTTTAGGGGAGTATTAAAGAGATAAAATTACTAATATGAAAAAATATAAGTAGCAATAGTAGTTTTAGAGTCCCAGGACAATAAAGTAAAAAGAAAACATTGGGACCAAGTAGCACTAAATTGGTGACTTAGAAACGACGCTGTCAAGGAACGCTATGGACAGAGGAAACATGCAAGAGGAGGAGAGTTTAGTGTCGGAGGTCGTGGATGAGTCTCCTCCGTCATCCATTTTTTATTTAGAGGAGGAAAGCGGGGACGAAGATGTTGTGGAAGAGGACGCCAGGGCGGCAGAAGCTTGGTTTGGTGTAGAAGGCTTCCAGCCGTACATGTTTGAGCCCTTGCCTCGCAACGCTGCCAGTTCTGTTAGCTCTACGCCTGCCGAAGACACAGACGTCCATCCCCGTGAACACTGGGACGCAACTCAATGGGAAAGGAAAGGATTCTGGTTTCAACCGCTGCGTATATTAGCTGCGACACATGAATCAAGATGCTATGACCAAAAACATTTGATTGACAGATGACCGTTGATATATGATTGGCCGAATTTAGGTGTTCAGGCTGACATAGAACTAACTGGCCTGCAGAAGATAACGGGAAAAACGATTTTTAGACAGGATTTTTTTTTAAATACAAATTTAGTACATTTTGGGACAATATGGTCTGGAACCACATTTATATACATGTTTCAGCCAGAATGATTTGACATTAAATATGATTTCCCTACGCCTTTATTTTTATACTTTATGAGAATAGAGTCAGTAGAACGAAGCGAAAGGGAAACGAAAATAAACTTGTAACACAAAACTAAAAACATTACGAATAAAAACTATAATCTGAGATTAAAGGTATCTATCAGCAGATTTGCCCCATTCAACATGGCGGCCGCTCTGACTCATCCGCAGCAGACTGACTATGAATGAATGAAAAAAGCTGTGGAAACGCGTTAGAAGACGAGCAGCAAGCTTCTCACCATCAGCCGCCTCTCCGGACTCGTTACCACGGCAGCGACCGTCTCTGCCAGCGGAGTGAGGAGCGACATGGAGGAGATGTTTAAAGCATCTTCCTCCTCCTCATCCTCCTCCTCCAGGACTCCATCAAACAGCTCGTTGATGACAGCAGAGTTAATGGACTGGTCCACGCTCACCTCCTGCTCCTCGACCTCCTGCGTCCTCCCCGCTAGGCTCACGGGGCTGGAGGTGGAGGCTGGGGGGGTCCGCCCCACCCCAGGAAAGGCTGTGGGATAAACAGAGGTCATCAGGTTCTCCTCTTCTCTTTGCTCTCATCTTCCTTCGTTTAATCGCCACAGAAGAAGAAACCAGCGGCCATCAGCTGCAGGTTTGATGCTCGTTTAGTCGGAAAGATTTTATTCTAGTTTCATTTCTGAGCAGAAGCTCCTGTTGGTTTAGAAGCAGGAGTTAAAGGAGAAAACGGAAACATTAAAGGATCAGGAACAGCAACTATTCCTCCTCAACCAACTGATCTCAGATCTGTTTCACTCTGAATCAGGAAGTTAGTCGCTGGGTTTGCTCTGAAACAGGAAATGTAACGGAGCGTCTTCCTGTGCTGCACAGAGATCCGTACCTGGAGGATGGCGGCTGGAGGGCGTGCTGGGCTCCTCCCTGGGCTTCTCGCTGCTGAGCTGCTCCTGCAGTGGTGGTGCTGTGGGCTCATCCTGTACCTGCAAAGCAGAGCATCTGTTAGACCCCGCCCACTGGCAGAGCTGACCAATGAGGCTCCATGTCGCTTTGACTCACTGCGGGACTACTTTAAAAAAATATATATGTATATTTTTCAGATATTCGTTTCTAATCTATTTCCAGATCATTTCTGTTTCTGCTAAACTGAGTAGAGAAGCGTTTCTATTGGTCAGCAGTGACTGGATCTGGATGGCGGTTTAGAGTCACTTGAAAAACAAAATAAAAAATGTAAAATCTTCAAAAATAAAAAAGGAAAAAGCAAAGTTACTTTAAAAACTCAAACAAATTTTCAAACAAATTGCACTTTTTTTTAATTTCCATTTACAAAAATTTAAAAGAATTTCCAAACACAAGAAGAACCCATCGTCAAAAACCAACCTTGTCGCCTGCATCGCTCCTGCCTGCCCGCTGGGCCTCGTCGGCCCTGGCCGCCGCCCGCTGGGCCTCGTCGGCCCTGGCCGCCGCCCGCTGGGCCTCGTCGGCCCTGGCCGCCGCCCGCTGGGCCTCGTCGGCCCTGGCCGCCGCCCGCTGGGCCTCGTCGGCCCTGGCCGCCGCCCGCTGGGCCTCGTCGGCCCTGGCCGCCGCCCGCTGGGCCTCGTCGGCCCTGGCCGCCGCCCGCTGGGCCTCGTCGGCCCTGGCCGCCGCCCGCTGGGCCTCGTCGGCCCTGGCCGCCGCCCGCTGGGCCTCGTCGGCCCGGGCCGCCTGTTGACCTTTGCCCTCCCAGACAGTCTTCCCCTTCTGGAATCGGCTGCGGATCAGAGCCAGCTCGGACTCGCGCTCCTGTAAGGAGGAGGAAGTCATCCATCGTTTCCAGCCTTGCTGGGACGCTGGGGGACGGTAAACCTACCAGCTTCTGCCTCTGGGTGAGCTCGGCGGTGGCGGTGTGAGCAGCCTGGGCGGCCCGCAGCCTCTCCTGGACCAGCTTGGTGTTGGGTGAGGCTGATGGAGTCCTCTGCTCTCGATGCTCCTGACATCGGTCCCCAAAGCGCTCCAGGAAAGATTTCACCCCTGGTTGGAGGAACGAACATTTTTAGGCTTCACCATTAATCAGATTTATTGCCCAAGTTTTCTTAGATTGAATATAAACGACTCAAAGAATAAAGGGAACCCTAAAATAACATCCTGGACGTGAATGAATGAAATATTATCTCTGAATACTTTGTTCTGTCTAAAGTTGAATGCGCTGAAAACAGAAACATAAATCCCTTTTACCGATCCCCGTGGGGAGCAGTGGGCCGCCACTCTGCAGCGCCGGGGAGCAGTGGGCTGCCATTGTGCGGGGCCCAGGGAGCTGTGTGGGGTTAAGGGTCTTTCTCAGGGACCCAGAGTGACAGTCTGTGGGAGTGGGGCTCTAACTCAGAACCTTCAGGATTTCAAGCTCTATGCCCTAACCACTATGCCGCTGCTCCCCTATTAGCTAATGGTGGTGTTCTCTAGTAAATGCCAGCATCCTGCAGGGCGTTGTCCTCATACCATCCTCATGGAGTCGGTTTCTAACGGTCTGTGCTGACACATGCACATTAGTGGCCTGCTGGAGGTCATGTAGCAGGGCTCTGGCAGTGCTCCTGCTCTTCCTCCTTCACAACACCTCACAGCTACAGCACAGCTCTCCACAGCTGGCACTGATGGTCCATCCTGGAGGAGCTGCACGACCTGAGCCACCTGTGTGGGCTGTAGTAAGGCTGACCTCAACATCACGGTAAAATTACCTCGCTATTGATAAATGCTATCAGAAATAAAGGCACGTGCAGGAAATACAACTGATCTATCTATAAGTTATTTAATGAATAAATTATTTTAGTTAAATATTAAAGGTTTAAACATTCTCATTGCTGCAGGTGATAAACGCGTTACTTTGGGTTCACCCAGTTTTCAGCTTTTCATCTTCTTTTGCTTAACATCTATGGTGTCATTTTGAACTGAGTGTGCAGTGACAACAGTCTGCATCGTTTAAACTCGCACACCTTCACTATAAACTGATCTGCTGCACGCTGAACTCTGACAACGAGCTCTCCACTTCTTCTCTGCTCGCTCAGCTTCATCTCAGCTTGACTCCACAGGATGAACTGATGTCATTTGGTTTGCAGCTGTTAGACGCTTCTTCACTGGACTCCTCTGCCATTCTCTTTATGTTTCTGACGGCATGGTTTGAGTCGTGATTAGACACCTGCTGCAGTGTTTGAGGGGAAGCAAATACCAGCTACCAGCGCAGTTCTTTGACTGATGGGGAAATTGTTGTCAGTTACCGTAGTGAATGAAGGTAACGGTGAAACTCCGGTTTATCGCCCAGGTCTAGGCTGCAGAGTCCGCCTCATGCCACCATGAGTGTTAAAGAACCACAAACATTCAAAGTGAGCAAACATCAGACAGAAAGGCCGATGAGTGGTCTGTGGTTCCAGAACCACTGCTTGCTAATTGGCAATAATTTCCACCTGTCGGATCTTCCATTTGATCAACAGGATGTGGAATTGATGGTCAACCAGTGTTGATTTTCCCACAGTTAGATTGAATTTATAGTTATTTACGGGTTCCCTTTAAGCAGCAGCTCACCTGGACCTCCAGCCGGGGTCGTTTCCTGACGGCCTGTTGAAGCAGAGCCGGTGGCTCCGTCACGGGGGCTGGCGCTGGGGGTTACACCCCTGGGGAGAGGCGGAGTCTTCAGCGGACTGGATGGGAGGACGGCTCCCTGCTTGGAGCTCCTCAGGGCCGACTGATCGGCGGGTCTGGATGCAGGACTTTCAGCCTTCTGGGGGCTGGGAGGAACGGCCCGAGCAGACTTTACCGGAGAACCCAGAGTATCCTGAAAATAAGAACATCCAGCTGTGAGTGGATGGAGAGGGGTGGGCTCTTCTTCCTCCACCACAGAGTTTGTACAGTTCATCATAGTTAGCTCCACATTTAGTTGATTTCATTTAGATGTATATTTTCTAATGGGTGCAAACTTTAGTTAAAATGTCTGAATGTTTTACACTTTTTCTTTTCTTAGATTCTGCAAATGCAGATCAGCTGGAGGTGGAAGCCAGGAACAAACCACCTTCCCAAAGAACTGAGAGGGATTTAAGTTGACTTCAGCTCATTTTATCATCTCAATATTTACTTATTATGTGTGCCAAGTTAAAGATTTGTTTATGTTTTAGTTTAATTTGTTGTTTCTGTTATATTTTGCTTCCCCCATGTGGCAGGCTTAGTAATGTAGCAAAGGATTGTGGGAGATTTAAAAGGGGCCCTGCAATTCAAGACCGTTTAAAGCCACATGAAATAAAAACTTAAGGCAAACTTGTGAAAAACTTCCATAGAGGAAGAAAAATAAACCCAGAGGAAATAACAGATTATTTTTAATCAACTACTGAACTGAATTTACAAACTTTAGTTTTGTTTCCATCATAGCTCTGCTTTCATTGCAGGCGAACAAACATTATGCAGAGGTTTGCTGCTGCTGCTGATGTGGGAGATGCTGATGATACCTGCAGGATTTTAACGCTTCGCATGTCCAACTCCGCTGCCCTGATTCCCATCGTGCCTCATCTACATTCCCTGGTTCTAGTTTTAGCCGTGCACAAAACTCTAGGCTGGACAGCTTTATTTAAATGTAAACTTTGCCTGGTTGTTCAGATAAAAAGTTAGCGTTGCATCACCCGCGGTCCGGCCGCAGCATCGTTTTTATTCTGCTATGGGAACAAATAACGATTACAGTGAGCCGGTCAGTAAAAAATGTTCAATGTTTGCTATGGATTACAAGAATAAAATAATATTTCTGTGGTCGGGTAGAAATATAAAATAACGGTAACTTTATCTCCTGGAAGTGGATCATGTTCTTCAGAGGAAACGCCCATATTTTCTCCTTTGTATCGGGTGATGGGCGCATCGCTCACGGCTTCCTCAGGGCGTTCAGCAGCCATGCCTTCAGTGAAACAAATGGTTCTGATTCCTTTCTCAGGTTTACGTACCGGCTTGGTGGAAGCAGGCCTGGCGGTTGCCATGGAAACACTCGGCGCCCTGCTTTGCTTGGCCTCTGCGACTCTGGTGGGGAACCTGGGAGCAGCGGCGGCGTCAGGCTTGGCTTTGGGGATGTGGGCGTGGCTCAGGTCGTCCTCCCAGGATTCAATGGTGGCGGCCAGGTGGGCCAGTCGGCCCCTTCGCCCTGCAGGAGCCGAGGGAGGCGGCTGGACGTCAGCCGGCGCCTGTCGCTGAGTGGGGGGGGTGCTGTCTGGCACCACATCAGCAGGACCTGAATAAAGAGAGCGGCAGCTTTTAATCGGGAGAGGATGAAGGAAGCGAGGAGCCTCAGTCTGAGAATGATCACCTTCATCACCATCCCAGCATTTCCTCTGCTCCGCCAGCCTCTGCAGGCGGGACTTCATGCCAGCAGCAGAGGGAGCCGGATCCTCCTCTGCCCCGTTCCTCTGCGGGTCAGAACCAGGGGGTCCGGTCGCCGTCGCTCTAATAGTTGGAGTATCCTGTCGCTGAGCGGGGGCAGAGTTCTCCTGCGGAGCGGCGGGCCTCAGAGAGGACGAGGACCGGACCCTGGCAGGGCCCACAGGGGGCTTCTTATCCGTCAGAGGGTCCGATGGAGCGGGGGCCACAGCGAGGCTCGTGATTGGCTCCTGGTTCTCATCTGGTGCAGAGTTTTCCTCTGAGCACCTGCGTTTGGACGGGGAGGGCTTGGAGGAGATCTGAGGAGCTGGAGTGAGATCAGAGGATCAGAGGAGAGTTCAGCTAAACCAACATCATCATCCTCATCAACACGCTCACCTTCATCAGCAGCGGGGTCGCCGACGGCGCTGTTGGACTCTGTCAGTGGCTCTCGAGGCCTTTTCACCATCTGTCTGTTTGCTGCATTGGGACGCTCTGCCAGCTTCCTCTGGAGGTTCTCCCTGCGGGCCCGGGTCCGCTCCAACAGTTTCTGGTTTGACCCAACAGAACATCAAACATCTCTGACATCTCATCAGGTCTGTTCTTTAGAAAATCAGCCTCCAGGAAACCAGAGGAACTGTCAGATTAGTTCATTCTTGCTGAGTAACGTCACTCAGCCCTGATTCAGGTCTGACTTTCAAAGAACAGCAACATAACAGCCAATCACATTTAAAACGGTTTGGATGCAAAGAGAGGAGGAGGCTTTAGCTCTTCCTCCTCCCAGTCTGTCACTTCATCTGATTCACTGAGCTCCACAGGCCCAGACACATTCCTGGGCTCTGCAGCAGGCCGCCATCTTGGCTGCAGCAGACAGATCAGCTTCAGGAATGAGCCACGCCTTCCTGTCCGGACCGAGGAGCAGAACCAGGACTGAATAAACATCAGAGACTAACTGGATCTGACAAACTCAGCCTGAAGCAGGGCTTCCTTTAATCTCACTAGGCTCCAGTTTTCAGCTCAAAGCTGAAACTGATTTAAAAACTCAATTTTACACTCTGGATTCCTAGCAGAAAAACAAGAATAAACTGAACTGGACTCGAACTTTAACGACCAATTCAGCTGCTAGCACTCATTAGGTTTTAGTTAGCATTAGCAGCTAATATTAACAGTTCAACTCATCGGGTTTTAGTTAGCATTAGCAGCTATTATTAACAGTTTAACTCATCAGGTTTAAGTTAGCATTAGAAGCTAATATTAACAGTTTAACTCACGAGGTTTTAGTTAGCATTAGCAGCTATTATTAACAGTTTAACTCATCAGGTTTAAGTTAGCATTAGCAGCTAATATTAACAGTTTAACTCACGAGGTTTTAGTTAGCATTAGCAGCTATTATTAACAGTTTAACTCATCAGGTTTAAGTTAGCATTAGCAGCTAATATTAACAGTTTAACTCACGAGGTTTTAGTTAGCATTAGCAGCTAATATTAACAGTTTAACTCACGAGGTTTTAGTTAGCATTAGTAGCTAATATTAACAATTTAACGGTTAGCCGGCTAAAGCTCCGTTCACGTTTTCCTCCCACCTCAGTAAACGGGTCCATATCGGCCAGCTGGGATCCTCCTGGGCGGTACTGGTTAAACTGGGACTGTACCAGTTCAAGCGATGTGAACAGAGATAAACTAGTGAAGCCAAACCAGAGGCGCTCTGTCTGAACTGCTGCCGTTCAAATTTTGAATTTCAGCGCTGCGCCCACTGCGCAGACTCAGAGCAGTGCGCGACAACCAATCAGAATCCACGGCATGGACGTCATGCTCTGAGCAGCCAATCACAGGAAGGCAGTTTTACTGTTTGTGTGGAAAGAGGAATACTTTAGTGAAGAGTCATCAGCGCCTGAGAAACAGTGAAAACTACCAGAAAAGGAAACCAGCAGCTAAATATGTCACATTATTTCACAACCTGCTGGAAAAAATAAACAACACCTGATGACGTCAGCCTTTTTCCTATTTTCTCAAATATTCTTTCTTTTAAAGATACTGCATAAAGACAAAAATGCAGTATTTACTGTATAGATGTAATATACTGTATGCTTTGTATGGACATATGTTTATATATGCATATATTTGTATATGCGTATATATCTAATTTCCCTTTGGGATTAGTATTTTTGAAATTAATATATATATATATATATATATATATATATATATATATATATATATATACAGAAGGGCATAGGTTCAATTTAAATATTGTTTCTCTGTTTGTCTTTATTCTATTTCTAGAAGTAGAAATAGTCAATTAAATTGCACTATTATATTGTGGAACCCAAACTATTCTTTCTAAACAAAAAATAGCAGATGTTTAAGCATCATCATTGTTATACTCTATAAAATAAATAAAAACTGCTATTTATACCTGATCTGCCTCAAAGGGTCATCAAAAATTTAAACAGTAACAGAGATGTATTAATAAAAGGGAAACAATCACATTTTCTTTTTCAGATGGCTGTGGCTAAGAATCAGAATGTTGATACAGTCTTTGCTTGTCTTTTTTAACAGCAGTCTTCAGAACTCCTGTCTGACTTAGAATATTTAGCTTTATAATGGAAAACAAAGGTTTTTGTTAATAAATTGAATTATACTTCAGAATTACATATTATTTTGGAATACTAAAGTTGGTTCCACAAATCAAACCACTCTCTCTCGCTTCTTTACAGAAGTGCAATCAGCGACTTATAGATGATATTTAGTTTTTTAATCGGGACTAGTTTGGTACCCAAATATTAACTGTACTAACCGCGGTATTCTAGCGTCAATTTTCTTTTAATTACGAGCCCTCAAGCGCGCACACACGGACTAGAAAACAAACAATCAGAAAGAGAGAAGGCGGAGCTTAAGGCAGAAAAATCAGAGAGTGCATTTAAACAGCGCAGCACAGTGACATGTCCTGCTAATTGAAAGTGACAGGAAAGACCTGGCAGGAACTCCGATGGAGCAGCTGCAGCTACCAGGCTGAGGAGCTGCGAGAGGAGAAGAAGCGACTGCTGCGACAACGCTGGACTGTAAATTATAAACATGTTGCTCACATCGAATTATTGCTAGGGACAGGTAGGTAGATCCAAGATTTTGGGACAACTTTTTCTGTCTACTCCTTACATTTAAAAAAGACTCATTAGTTTTGTTCCATTTAAGCTCATTTATAATATTGGCTGTTGGTATTTAAAGAAGATAAAGAATAAATAAAAAAGCTATCTATCTATCTATCTATCTATCTATCTATCTATCTATCTATCTATCTATCTATCTATCTATCTATCTATCTATCTATCTATCTATCTATCTATCTATCTATCTATCTATCTATCTATCTATCTATCTATCTATCATATTAGCACCATGATAATGTTTTTTTTGTATCAAAGCATAAATATCTACATTTTTGTTTCCTTTTTATTGGATTTCCAACTATTTCTAAACTTTATCAATATTGTAAATCTACATTCATACTAATGAATCTGATTAAACTGGAAAAAGGAAAATGTTCCATCTGGACTACATTTCCCATGAGCGGAGGACGCTCAGCGTGTGACGTCAGAGCTGAAACCATAGCAACCAGTACAAGGCAGTTTTTTAGTGCGCTGCCTCCTCTGTCCCCGCTAACCGTTGAAGGTGGAAGATGATCGTTGGAAGAAACTGAAAAACATCTTTCCACTCGTGACGCGCTGTGTCTGTGGCTGTACTTTGGAGGCTTTATCAGATTATCACAGTTAATCTGCTGGCGGCCTGACATCAAAGGAGATGCTGGAGTCCATTAAAGTTACAGGTAATGTTAGAATAACTGACCGCTCTCATCACACAGGCGCGCGTTAACCCACGGAGATGTGCGTGGGGATCCCGGTAGCTCCGTGGGCTAACCACGGGCCCATGGTTAGCTAACCATCTGGGCTTAAAGGGCCACAGGAACCCTCTGGGTTTTAAGGGCCACAGGAACCATCTGGGCTTAAAGGGCCACAGGAACCATCTGGGCTTTAAGGGCCACAGGAACCATCTGGGCTTTAGGGCCATAGGAACCACTGGGCTTTAGGGCCATAGGAACCATCTGGGCTTTAAGGGCCACAGGAACCACTGGGCTTTAGGGCCACAGGAACCCTCTGGGCTTTAAGGGCCACAGGAACCACTGGGCTTTAAGGGCCACAGGAACCATCTGGGCTTTAGGGCCACAGGAATCCTCTGGGCTTTAAGGGCCACAGGAACCATCTGGGCTTAAAGGGCCACAGGAACCATCTGGGCTTTAAGGGCCACAGGAACCACTGGGCTTAAAGGGCCACAGGAACCCTCTGGGCTTTAAGGGCCACAGGAACCATCTGGGCTTTAAGGGCCACAGGAACCATCTGGGCTTTAGGGCCACAGGAATCCTCTGGGCTTTAAGGGCCACAGGAACCACTGGGCTTTAGGGCCATAGGAACCACTGGGCTTTAGGGCCATAGGAACCATCTGGGCTTTAAGGGCCACAGGAACCACTGGGCTTTAGGGCCACAGGAACCATCTGGGCTTTAAGGGCCACAGGAACCACTGGGCTTTAGGGCCATAGGAACCACTGGGCTTTAGGGCCATAGGAACCATCTGGGCTTTAAGGGCCACAGGAATCCTCTGGGTTTTAAGGGCCACAGGAACCATCTGGGCTTAAAGGGCCACAGGAACCCTCTGGGCTTTAAGGGCCACAGGAACCATCTGGGCTTTAGGGCCACAGGAATCCTCTGGGCTTTAAGGGCCACAGGAACCATCTGGGCTTAAAGGGCCACAGGAACCATCTGGGCTTTAAGGGCCACAGGAACCACTGGGCTTAAAGGGCCACAGGAACCCTCTGGGCTTTAAGGGCCACAGGAACCATCTGGGCTTTAGGGCCACAGGAATCCTCTGGGCTTTAAGAGCCACAGGAACCATCTGGGCTTAAAGGGCCACAGGAACCATCTGGGCTTTAAGGGCCACAGGAACCATCTGGGCTTAAAGGGCCACAGGAACCATCTGGGCTTTAAGGGCCACAGGAACCATCTGGGCTTTAGGGCCACAGGAATCCTCTGGGCTTTAAGGGCCACAGGAACCACTGGGCTTTAGGGCCATAGGAACCATCTGGGCTTTAAGGGCCACAGGAACCACTGGGCTTTAGGGCCACAGGAACCATCTGGGCTTTAAGGGCCACAGGAACCACTGGGCTTTAGGGCCATAGGAACCACTGGGCTTTAGGGCCATAGGAACCATCTGGGCTTTAAGGGCCACAGGAATCCTCTGGGTTTTAAGGGCCACAGGAACCATCTGGGCTTAAAGGGCCACAGGAACCATCTGGGCTTTAAGGGCCACAGGAACCATCTGGGCTTTAGGGCCACAGGAATCCTCTGGGCTTTAAGGGCCACAGGAACCACTGGGCTTTAGGGCCATAGGAACCACTGGGCTTTAGGGCCATAGGAACCATCTGGGCTTTAAGGGCCACAGGAACCACTGGGCTTTAGGGCCATAGGAACCACTGGGCTTTAGGGCCACAGGAACCATCTGGGCTTTAAGGGCCACAGGAACCACTGGGCTTTAGGGCCATAGGAACCACTGGGCTTTAGGGCCATAGGAACCATCTGGGCTTTAAGGGCCACAGGAACCACTGGGCTTAAAGGGCCACAGGAACCCTCTGTGCTTTAAGGGCCACAGGAACCACTGGGCTTTAGGGCCACAGGAATCCTCTGGGCTTTAAGGGCCACAGGAACCATCTGGGCTTAAAGGGCCACAGGAACCATCTGGGCTTTAAGGGCCACAGGAACCACTGGGCTTAAAGGGCCACAGGAATCCTCTGGGCTTTAAGGGCCACAGGAACCATCTGGGCTTTAAGGGCCACAGGAACCACTGGGCTTTAGGGCCACAGGAACCATCTGGGCTTTAAGGGCCACAGGAACCACTGAGCTTTAGGGCCACAGGAACCACTGGGCTTTAGGGCCACAGGAACCATCTGGGCTTTAAGGGCCACAGGAACCACTGGGCTTAAAGGGTCACAGGAACCACTGGGCTTTAGGGCCACAGGAACCATCTGGGCTTTAAGGGCCACAGGAACCACTGGGCTTAAAGGGCCACAGGAACCCTCTAGGCTTTAAGGGCCACTGGAACCCTCTGGGCTTAAAGGGCCATAGGAACCACTGGGCTTTAGGGCCATAGGAACCATCTGGGCTTTAAGGGCCACAGGAATCCTCTGGGTTTTAAGGGCCACAGGAACCATCTGGGCTTTAAGGGCCACAGGAACCATCTGGGCTTTAGGGCCACAGGAATCCTCTGGGCTTTAAGGGCCACAGGAACCACTGGGCTTTAGGGCCATAGGAACCACTGGGCTTTAGGGCCATAGGAACCATCTGGGCTTTAAGGGCCACAGGAACCACTGGGCTTTAGGGCCACAGGAACCATCTGGGCTTTAAGGGCCACAGGAACCACTGGGCTTTAGGGCCATAGGAACCACTGGGCTTTAGGGCCATAGGAACCATCTGGGCTTTAAGGGCCACAGGAATCCTCTGGGTTTTAAGGGCCACAGGAACCATCTGGGCTTAAAGGGCCACAGGAACCCTCTGGGCTTTAAGGGCCACAGGAACCATCTGGGCTTTAGGGCCACAGGAATCCTCTGGGCTTTAAGGGCCACAGGAACCATCTGGGCTTAAAGGGCCACAGGAACCATCTGGGCTTTAAGGGCCACAGGAACCACTGGGCTTAAAGG